AGACCCTGGGAGAGACAGAGTCTGGCTACATCATGGGGATAGGGACAGAAGAGGACCCAGCCCTTCTGTTGGGCCACATGAAAGGCAGGTGCTTTAGGCCGGGCGCGGTGGCTCACGCCTGTAATCCCAGCACTGTGGGAGGCCGAGGTGGGCGGATCACGAGGTCAAGAGATTGAGACCATCCTGGTCAACATGGTGAAACCCCGTCTCTACTAAAAATACAAAAAATTAGCTGGGCATGGTGGCACATGCCTGTAATCCCAGCTACTCAGGAGGCTGAGGCAGGAGAATTGCCTGAACCCAGGAGGCAGAGGTTGCGGTGAGCCGAGATCGTGCCATTGCACTCCAGCCTGGGTAACAAGAGTGAAACTCTGTCTCAAAAAAAAAAAAAAAAAGAAAGGCAGGTGCTGACTATCTCACCAGCTGACTGTCTCACCCATAGGACCATGAATTGGGGCTTTCTGCCTTCCACATCCTGCAGAAGCCATCTTACCTCTGGAGGAATCCACATTTCCTGGTCATGCCTTGTAGTGCCCTATCACAGAGCCCTGGAGTCACCCCAAAGTTCTTATCACCCTCTGTATCGTCGTCACCTTCCTCATCATTATAGCTAACGTTCTCTAGCATTTACTACATGCCTGGCAAAAGTTTAAGCATTTAGCTTGTAATAATCGTTCTAATCCTCATGAGAACTTTTTTTTTTTTTTTTTTTTTTTGAGATGGAGTCTTGCTGTGTTGCCCAGCCTGGAATGCAGTGGCGCAATCTTGGCTCACTGAAACCTCCACTTCCTGGGTTCAAGCAATTCTCCTGCCTCAGCCTCCTGAGTAGCTGGGATTACAGGCATGTGCCACCATGCCTGGCTAATTTTTGTATTTTTGATAGAGACGGGGTTTCGCCTTGTTGGCCAGATTGGTCTTGAATTCCTGGCCTCAAGTGATCCACGTGCCTCGGCCTCCTAAAGTGCTGGGATTACAGGTGTCAGCCACCATGCCGAGCCCTCATGAGACCATTTTAAAGTATGTGCTAAAGTATGTGATAATATGAACTTCATTTTGCAAAGGGGAAACTGAGGCACAGAGAAGTTAGTAATTTGCTGAACTGGTGGCAGGATTGGGATTTAGCCTGAGCTCCCGCACCCTCAGACTCCGCTTTCAAGCCATCTGTCTCCTTAGCGGTCATCACTGTTGTCTGTGTGGCATTTTAACTTTGCCTTTTGGACAGGGAAGCCTGGTGGCTTGGTCTTGACCTCTGAGGGGGTCCATTCTGAAAACATCAGATCGGCAGCCACCCCACACATCCAGGGCCACGGGACTGGAGTTGCTACTGGCCATGTAGCTTCTACTGCAGATGTTAGGCCTGGAAGAGAAGGCCGGGAGCATGTGAGGAGAGGCCGCGACCGCTGTCCCGGAGCCCCCAACCCACGCTGTTTCCAGGAGCTGCGTCCATTTTGCATCTGTGGTTGGAGTTGGGCTGCGAGATAGCCTGCTCTCCCCCTCCTCAGCTTCAGTGCTGGGGCCCCCCTGCCTCCTTCCCAGCCCAACCCGGGAGGGCTGTTCTTCCCTCTAGAGTCCCCATCCTTCCTGACTCATCGTAAATTCATTCACACTGAGGTATTACTTTCCCTGTCAGGTTAGGGCTTCCAGGGAGGCAGATGGCTTGCTTCTGAGTCGGTTGGGTTCTTTGTTTTGTTATTTTTTCCTGAGAAGCCCGACAGGGCTGTCATTAGACATTCCTCAGCCTGTGGCCAGACTGCATTCTGCCCTCTCTCATCCCCTCCCTTCGGCCCCACGCATGGAGGCCAAAGCAGATTCATGCTCCTGGGAGTGGGGCCAGCTGGGGGGGGCTGAGGATTCCCAGTTTGAAAGCGGGTGTCACCTCCATTCACAAGGCTCTGAGGGTGTCGGGAAAGTTATTTGCAGTTTGGTGCTGACTTTCCATTTGCCTCTTGTGTGGAAGAAGGGACAGTCTCCCACGTCCTGGCTTCCTGTGGGTGTCCCGGGGCTGTGTGGGGAGAATTGGGTCCCCTAGCCCTTTTTCCCCCAAAGTTTCCTTCCTGTCCTCCACTTCCACCCCCACTCCAGACTTCGATGAGATCCCTGGAGACCCTTTACCTTGTCCTCATGGCTGGCAGGCCGCTGTCTTCCTTGCAGCTGCTCGTCACAGCTGATGGCACCAGGCACGCAGCGGCTGGCACACATTGGTCATGGTCGGCTGTTGAGATTTGGGTCAGCTTCCTAGGAAGAAGACAAATTCCTTTTGTTAGAGCTTCCCAGAAGTGATTGCCAATGGCCAGAGAGGACAGGGCTCCTCCAGCCATATCTGACTTACCCAGCAATCCCAGCTTTGCCCCCCGGCCGGCCAGTGCAGCTGGAAAACATGGCAACTGTAATTGCCTCGCATGGAGACGGTGCTCAAAAATAAAGTGAGCCCCAAACATCCATTTCCAGTCCCATTTTGAAATCTATGAACTTGAGCATTGTGAGTGAGCCCACTAGGCCTTGGGGATGAGTGAGTCATTAGGCTGTGCCTCATCTACAGCAGGTGGGGCGGGAAGGAAGACTCGGCAGTGTTAAAATGCATGCTCTGAATGAAGAAACCCCCCAAACAGGCTTTGTGTGAGCAACATGGCTATTTATTCATCCGGGCGCTGGTGGGCTGAGTCCAAAAAGAGAGTCTGCGGAGGGCGGTGGGATAGGAGTTGGTTTTATAGGTTTGGGGTAAGCGGTGGAAAGTTACAGAAGTTACAGTTTAGGGTGGATTTTTTGCAAGCCGGGAGGGGGTTGTAGGTTTGCAAGGTGGGAAGGGGTTGTAGGGTCTGGAGTCACAAGGTTGACCAAGGTTGATTACAAAGTCCAATGTGATTGGAGCTGGAATAAAAAACAATAGAAGAATGTCTCAAGTTACTTAGGACAGGGGTTAATTGTTCTTCTGCTTTTCACGGTCTTCTAGTTACTTCAGGTTTTCTAATTCCAGAAGGCCCTCCAAAGGTGTACGTGTGGGTCATGGGGGTCGCCATAGTGTCCATGGCACCATCCGTCAGCCTAAAAGACCTTACACACAGTAGCCTTTTGGTTTGGCTATTATTTATTCATTTAAAAGCTCCTATGTATTGAAGTAGGATAAGCACATTGCCAAAATGTAAAAATAGAGGAGAGAAAAAATTTACTCAAAATTCACCTTCTTCTATCTTAGCAGGCATTGTGAACATTTTGGTCTATATTTTTGGCATTTTAGTGTCTTGTATTCTTATGTTCAAGGGTCTTTGATTTTTCATTATTGTAAAAAAGTTCTAAATAGCAAAAATAGTACAGTGGCATTTTTAGCTGTTAACATTTGCATGCTCTTTCTGTTCACACACATGCACACACACACAAACATATCTCTGTGTGTGTGTGTGTGTGTTTAGAAATAGAGTGTTGCTCAATTGCCAAGGCTAGAGTAGAGTGGTGCGATCATAACTTACTCTCAATCATAGCTCACTCTAGCCTCTAACTCACAGGCTCAAGCAATCCTCCTACCTCAGCCTAAGCAGCTGGGACTATAGGCACACATCACCAAGCCTGGCTAATTTTTCAGTTTTAATTTTTCGTAGAGACAGGGTATCCCTTTGTTGCCCAGGCTGTTCTCAATCTCTTGGGCTTCGGCAACCCTCCTACCCCAATCCTATCCCCAAAAGTGCCAGTACTACAGGTGTGAGCCACCATGCCCAGCCTGTATATATGTTATTAGTGTTGGCCTTTAGTTTTGATAGTTGGCCTTAAGGAACCCAAGGCTACAGACTAGGATAACTGGTTCTCATGTCACTTCTGCCACTTGTTAGCTTTGCCATTAAGTCCCTTTACCTCTCCAAGCTGCTTTAGCGCTAACACAAATAGCTCATTTCTGTCCTGTTATCGGGTCATCTGACCAGACCAGATGAGATCATGAGGATAAAGAAGCTTGGTCAACTAAGGCTCTAGCCCCAAATAAGTAATTGGCAAGACTTAGTTGTGGCCCAGTGCTGCAAAGGAAGGGCAACTTGGGTTAATGAGGATGCTTTCTCAGCATCCTCTGTGACAAAGGACGCAGGTACTTCCCATACTGGACAGTTGGTGCAGAATCCTGGGGTGCCTTGGCCCCTGGATGCTGCTGTAAGGGCATGAGTTTGGGTGAAGGACACTAGCTCATCTCACTGTGACCCAAGCAGGGAAAAATGTCCCAAGATGATGTTGGTGGTCTGAGCAGTGAGTGAGTGGTCAAGCCAACCGGGCACTACACTGTCCTCTGTATGGGCAGCGGGAAGTAAGTACCATGTAAGGTTTGAATGCTGACTCCATGTTGATACCCAAGGACATTGCTTTTGGCTCACCCAGACATGTTCAGGAGGTGAGTGCAAGACCACTGGCACATGAATCATAATGATTTGGACTGACTCTGGCCATGCCTGGCTTTCTGAATGGCTTGCGTACCAGTTGTCTAGGCTATTTCCTGGAAGTGGAGTTAATGTTGGCGGTCAGAGGAACCCTCTGCTTCTTCCAGGGGGTAGTGCACATGGTCTAGCTAGGGTCCTGAATCAACAGAGTGTTTATCAGGTGCAAAAGGAATGTTGGCAGTAGACCATGAGCACCTTTTTTCCCCCAGAAGACACCTTCAAATCCATTTTTACATTTTATCCTATGAGGTGGCAAGGCAGATATTGCTTTCTGAATTTTCAAGCAGAGGAAACTAAGGCCACAGCGAGTTCCATAGCCAGTTAGCAGTAGAGGCAGACCTAGAACCCAGCTCTCTAGACTCCTTGTCCTGTGCTCATTTGGGAAATGGCAGCATGACTGCCAGTTTGCCAGGCAGAAGAGTCACCCAGCAACCTGGAGCTTCCTTCTGCTGTGCAGTTCCCACTCAGGGTGACTCCTTCTCCTGCATTGCTGCTGTCTTTATGCACAGCCAACAGAGGCAGGGCTCAGAAGAGGCATAGCCAGCCCAGCTCCCCCTTCCTTTCCAATATGTGTTTCTCATCACCCAGGTGCTGCTGGATGAGGAAAGAGAGGCCATGGCAAAATCCCGCCGGCTGGAACGCAGCACCAGCAGCTTCAGTTACTCCGCATACCACAACCTGGAGGAGGTAGGTCTGCCCGGGGAGACCTACCTCCCCGGGGACCCTTAGGGTCTCCTGACTCAGGCAGAAACTAGTGAAGGACTCTAGGGTTTATGGGAGACTGTGACTGACACTTGGGGACTGTACAGCAGACATTAGGTCTGCTAGACAGAGAGTCAGCTTCAAAGAGGTCCAGAAGCCAGGATTCAGATAGAGGAGACAGTAGTTCAGCTATATAGCCCTAGGCAGGAACATAGCAGAGTAATGGGTCTCCTAGGCAGAACACTAAGGCAGGGACCCATTACGGGTCCAGAATAGAGCCGGTAGAAGCTACCTTCATCTTGACAGAGCCAGAGCATCACCATCTTGAACAAACATTACAATTCTAAGTTTCCTGAGATTAAAAAACTGCCTAAATCCAGTCCCTATAGTTACAAAATGGACAAAAAAAAATTGACCAGAAGCCCCTCTCAGGTTTATTTCTCTTAAATAAACCTGACTGTTAAGCTGTATTTTGTGTTTCTTTCCTCTTTCTTTAACTCTTACACACATCTAATCCTATGGCTGGGGACCTAGGGCTCTCAGCCTGTCCATGACCAGCCCTGGTGGTCACGGTCCTGGCTGTGGGTTCTGGGGTATATACGAGGGGCAGGAAGCCAGGGACATTAGAGAGCCATATTTTTAGAATAAAAGGGAGTTGCCTTCACTTGGAGAAAATTCATGATCACAGTTACAGTCAGCCAGGGCAGGTGTATCTAATTGTGACTTGTTTATAAAGAAGAATGAACATGGAGGGTGCAGGGATGCCCACTCCAGAAAGGAACTCAAGGCACGGGTCTCATTTTGTGTGTCAAGGACATAACATTGATATCATCCATCTATTATCATAATCACTTTTCCCACTTCACAAGTCATGGAACAGAAAATCCATTTTCTTTCATATATTTGTTAATTCAATTCCATGTATTGAAAGAACAAGAGAATGAAATGATACAGTCTGTCACTATTTACTGATGCCAAAGATAAATAAAACAAGAACCCTGCCTTCAAGGGCCTTACAGTCTAAAAGGAGCAAGAAGATAAAAACAACACTACATGGTCTGTGAGATCTGTCAAATGGATTGAATAGGCCAAAGAATGGAGGCAAGAGAGAGAATTTCCAATCAGAGAGAGCCGTGTGGGTCAAGCCTGGGGATTTGAGCAGACTCAGCACACACTGTTCTCCCAGGCAAAGAGCCAGGAATCCAGCAAGACCACAACTCACTTCCTTTAGCTCTGAGGGAATGCTCTACTTTTGCAATTCTTTATCTGGGTTCTTCTAGATTCTCTGAGGACATGGGAAAGCATTGAGGAGAGTGGGAAGGGGCACAGAGAACATTCAGAGAGGCCATGTGTAACTGCCAATCTTACACACTTCTTTCCCTTCAGATATATAGCTGGATTGACAACTTTGCAATGGAGCATTCTGATATTGTCTCAAAAATTCACATTGGCAACAGCTTTGAAAACCGGCCCATTCTTGTCCTGAAGGTAAAAAGCCAACGGTGTCAACTTGTAGACTCTACATTGAGGCCCTCTGGCATAAGACTGAGCTCATGTGGGGTAGTGGCTGGGTGGGAGTTTTGCGGAGAAGGACAGTGTGTATACTCCCGTCCCCAGGTGACCTATAAGCTTTGAGGTTGTGACATTCAGAGATCCACCCTTGTAGGTATGAAGAGGTGACAGTGTGGTGACCTGGCATGTCCTTGGTCAGAAAGTAGGTGGGAGGATGGCTAAGGGGTTAGGGCTGCAGAGTGGCAGTTGTCACTCTGGACTTGGGGTGTGAGTGTGGATGAGTTGGCATTCTTTGTGTTACCTCAGTTGCTTCATCTGTTTAATAGGAACAGAGGTACACAAAGGGCCCACTTGCTAATGAGGTCATCTGGCTCAGACAGCCCTGCAGACAGGCCAGAGTCTGTAGAGAAGCTTCCCAACCCTTCACCATGGCCACTGGAACAGAATTCAAGCAAACTCAGGACCCTGCAGTTCCCTGGGTCGTGAAGGAAGTAGGAGAGGTGAATGCAGAGCTCTCAGGAAGCAACTCTTAGTTTGAGCCCAAGAGGGCACCCAGGAGTGTGGACCCTGAGAGGCATTTAGCATCAGCTGTCAGAAAAGATAGGTGCCTGCTGCTGCTCTCAATAATTCTCTGGTGGGCTCTTCTGAACAGCCAAGTGGACTCACATAACTTGGGACTTGACTTCACCTGTCCCTGCTTCCATTTCTCCAGGGGCTATGGTCTTCTCTCTCTAATGTTGTCTAAATCTTTGTTACTCAAAGCACGGTCCCTGCATAGCAGTATCAACATCCCCTGGGAGCTTATTAGAAATGCCAAACCTCAGACCCCTCTTCAGACCTCCCAAGTCAGAATCTGCACTAGAATAAGATCCTCAGGAGACTCATGTGCCCATTAGAGTTTGAGAAAGCCTGGTCTTCAGCTACTTTCAATCCTGGGAAATTCTGTCCTTCTGGATGGATCACTTTGCTCCCCAAGGGCACCAGTATGTTGCCAAAGGACCTCACACCTGTGCACTTTTGGGCACACGGACAGATACCTGCACACACACCCTCTTACCTGGTGCGCAAAGCTGCCCCGGGCAGTGAGGATGCCTCCAGAACCTCCTTCCCGGTAGCCTGGAGACAGTAGCTGTCTGAGTTCAAACCTCGGTTTGGGGCCGATTCTTTTTCTCAGTTCAGCACTGGAGGTTCTCGGCACCCAGCCATCTGGATTGACACTGGAATTCACTCCCGGGAGTGGATCACCCATGCCACCGGCATCTGGACTGCCAATAAGGTCAGCAGGGACCAGTAGTCAAGGTGCACCCATGATGGAGGCTGCACCTGGGGGTCGGGGCTTACCATTGAAGGGCACCTCCTGCTGAACAGTGACACTCAGGGTGCTGTTGCCCTCCTGCTCTTTGGAGCAGCTGCCTCGTGCTCTTGCCTTTTGCAGCACAGAGCCCACATTGATCCCCTGCCTTCCAGTTGTTGAAAATCCAAGGCTTCGGTTCTGCACAAAAGATACACCTGAGGGTTTCATGCCCCCACTTCCTGCATCCACCTGCTGTGCAAATGTCCTGCGGCACCTCCCAGGGCTTCCCATCTCTCCTCACCCTTTCTTGCAGATTGTCAGTGATTATGGCAAAGACCCCATCCTGACAGACATACTGAAGGCCATGGACATCTTCATAGAGCTCGTCACAAACCCTGATGGGTTTGCTTTTACCCACAGCATGGTGAGGGCACCCGGGGAGGATGGAAGCCCTAGGGGGATGGAGAAAAGGTCACTGTGCTTTGGGAACCAGCCCCTTAAGGGCCGCTTTGCAGGAAGCCTCACCAAAGGCAGGTGGGCTGCTCTGATACTGCACCTGCAGCCTCTTGCCCTCTGACCTCTTTCTTGCTGCCCAGGGAAGGCAGGCCACTATTGGCAGCCTGTGCCCAGGCCTCTCCCCAGACCCTAACTTCAACTACACAGTATCTGAGCTACAGACTTGGCCCAGCCCCATGCCAGCCCTGTCCTGTCCTGGCAATTCCTTCCCTTTGCTCCTCCCTGCCCCACCAGGCTCCCCCACCCCCAGAGGCAAGGATATCAGAGGCTCCCATCCCTGGGAATGGGCCCAGTGAATGAGGTCACCTGACTTGGGCTTTCCCAGAATCGCTTATGGCGGAAGAACAAGTCCATCAGACCTGGAACCTTCTGCATTGGCGTGGATCTCAACCGGAATTGGAAGTCAGGCTTTGGAGGTATGGCAATCTGCTGTCCTGGGGCAGGGCTGGAGAAGAGGTGTTGGGTCTGCGGCAGGTTCTTCCACTCAGTCAGATCTTGTTGACCCAACTTGGGAGGCATGGGACAATGCAGTCAGCTAATATGCACGAGTCACGGCCAGGGACAGGCAAGCCCATGGGCTGTGGGCATGGGGAGAGGTTGCGTGTGTGTGTGTTGAATGTACACATATGCAAAGCCTTCATGGGAAACATTAAAGGGACCCCCCAACTCCTAAAATGAGGACTAACTGCATGAGTTAATTCCTAAATATGGTGACTCATGCCTGTAATCCCAGCACTTTGGGAGGCTGAGGTGGGCGGATCCCAAGGTCAAGAGATCAAGACCATCCTGGCCAACATGGTGAAACCTGGTCTCTAGTAAAATACAAACATTAGCTGGGTGTGGTGATGACTGCTTGTAGTCCCAGCTACCCGGGAGACTGAGGCAGGAGAATTACTTGAACCCAGAGGGCAGAGGTTGCGGTGAGCCGAGATCACACTATTGCACTCCAGCCTGAGTGACAGAGAGAGACTCTGTCTCAAAAAAAGAAAAAAAAAATCCTAAATATGGCAAGAGAAAGGTTTAAAGGAGGTACAAAGTAGTCTTGTTTGTTGTTCAAAATCCAGAGTTTATGGTGCCCCCAAAATATCCCTAGCCCTGCCCCGAAGGGAGCACAACACAAAGAAAAGCCTCTGAACTCATTCCCCGAGAGCTAGGACCTGAACTCTGCCCTTTGGGGAGGCCAGGGCAGTAGTTTCAAGTATCTAGTAGAATGAGCCACTTTTTTTTCCTTTCCTTTCTTTCTTTCTTTTTTTTTTGAAACAAGGTCTTACTCTGTTACCCAGGCTGGAGTGCAGTGGTGTGATCACGGCTCACTGCAGCCTCAACTTCCTGGGCTCAGGTGATCCTCCCACCTCAGCCTCCCAAGTAGCCGGGACCACACGTGCATACCACCACACCTGGCTAATTTTTTGGGGGGTTGGGGGACAGAGTCTTTCTCTGTTGCTCAGGCTGGAATGCAGTGGTGCAATCTTGGCTCACTGCAACTTTTGCCTCCTGAGTTCAAGCAATTCTCCTGTCTCAGTCTCCTGAGCAGCTGGGATTACAGATGCCCACCACCACACTTGACGAATTTTTGTATTTTTAGTAGAGACAGGGTTTATAGGCTTTCCCCATATTGGTTAGGTTGGTCTCAAACTCCTGACCTCAGGTCATCTGCTTGCCTCAGCCTCTCAAAGTGCTGGGATTATAGGTGTGAGCCATCATGCCCGGCCAATTGTTGTATTTTTTAAAAAGTCTGTAGAGACAAGGTTTCACCGTGTTTCCTGGGTTGATCTTGAACTTTTGGGCTCAAGTGAATCACCTGCCTTGGCTTCCCAAAATGCTGAGATTATAGGCATGAGCCACCGCACCTGGCCTCAAGATAATTCTTTATCATCAAGGCTGGCTTGAGCCTGGTTTTTATTTTTGACCCATTACTTTATGACCGTGGCACATATCTGCAGAGCTGTCTGATTCCAGTGAGAGGGAGGGGGCAGCTTTCTCCTGAGTTCCTTGGTGTTCTTCTCTGATAATCTCCACTACCATTAGAGGGGCACGGGGATTGGGAAATTGAGGCTTCCAGAACGCTCAGAGACAGGTACATGGACCCTGGGAATACAGCAATTTGATGGGCAGGACAATTTGATGGGTCTAGTCATGACAGAGTCTCCGGAACAGACACAGCCTTGGCCTCCACACGTGGCATTTGCACTCCATAGGGGACTCAGGGTTTGGCTTCACAGGGGACAGTGTCATTGCTGTTGATAATCAGACCTATAAGCTGGTGTCCATTCACAGGGGACAGTGTCATTGCTGTTGATAATCAGACCTATAGGCTGGTGTCCAAACCAATGAGATAGAACATTTTAGATCTGGATGCCCATTGCTTTGAAAATCTGGCTTCTTGGGGGCTGTTCTCATTGAAAAATTGGCCAGGCGTGGTGACTAACACCTGTAATCCCAGCACTTCGGGAGGCTGAGGAGGGTGGATCACAAGGTCAGGAGATTGAGACCATCCTGGCTAACACAGTGAAACCCCGTCTTTACTACATATACAAAAATTAGCTGGAGGTGGTAGTGCATGCCAGCTACTGGGGAGGCTGAGGCAGGAGAATCTCTTGAACCAGGGAGTCGGAGGTTGCTGTGAGCCGAGATTGCACCACTGCACTCCAGCCTGGTAACAGAGTGAGACTCCGTCTCAAAAAAAAGAAAAAAAAAAAAAAAAGAAAGAAAGAAAAGAAAGAATAGGAAAAGAAAAAAAAAAAAATCAGGCTGGCCCCAAAGCACTGAGAGTGAGGCCCCTAGCTCACAGTGTGGGGGTTGTAACTGCTTGTGTGAGGGAGCAAGACCATGCAAAATTAGGCATTTCCGCCTCCAAATGAACAGATGCTTGCCCGGGTGGGTATCCAGTGGCCCCTCAGCACTGACTCGAGTGAGTACCCACGGACGCCATGCTAGGCTGGCTGGTAGAAAGATAAATTGCCTCTTAAAGGAAATAACTTCTGTGGGTCTCACCACAGGAAAAAAAAAATCCGTGTACACACAATGTACCAAACAATTACAGAAAAAAAGCCCAGAGGGGGCAAAAAGCTCCCATAATCCCACCACTCAAAGATCACTGCTTTTAATAATTTACCATGTCCTTCCAGAGATTTCCCCTTGCTACAAATTACATTTTTAGAGAAGGAAAAAATAAAGAGCTAATGAATCCATTAGCAGGTACTTGTGAAACAGGCAGGCTCAGAGGACCCTGACTTCGAACGTCAGAGATGCAGGCGGCTAATTCCCATTTGGCCAGGGGAAGATTAGTTTATTCTGCTTAGCTCAAACCAGAACTAATGGCCTGAAGTGTTTCTCCATATTTGGGCAAAGCCACCTGGTCGTTGGCAGGGGAACGGCTTTCTGTGCGTGGGCTGCAAAAGCAGACAAAGCCTTCAGCCTCCCCCGCTCTGCGCATCTGTTGCTGTTTGTCATTCATCAAGTGGAGCAGGTGCAGGGGCTCCTGACAGACACAACAAGCCAGGCCGCTGTTAGCTGGGCTGATTCCATCCTGGGGGCTGCCTTTCACCCCCTTGCTCTGCAGGCACATCCCCTTCTAACCAGGGTCCACACTCCAGGTGACGACCGCTAAACTGAGAGCGGGTATGCTCCCTGGGCCTCCCGGGGGTCAGCAAGAGTGTATCTGAGTTGGTGACTCAGGCTGGACGATTTTGTTTATGGTTTTGCTGCTGCCTTTATTGAATGGCTGTGTAATGAGTAATCTGTAGACCATCCTTCCCACCCGTGCCTGGCCTCCCGTGCATTCTTGAAGAGGACTCGTGGGCTGCATTCCCAGAGTATCATCTGAAGTGTTCCATGGGGCAGCTCCCAGCCCCAGGAGTCAAGAGGAATGCTATGGCCTCCTCAGGAGGCTTCAGAAGTTGAGGTGATCCCTAATCTCTAAACGGTGCCACCGTTCCAGGGAAGAGAAGAGAGAGGAGAAACTGGGATGACTCCTTCCAAGTTAGCCTACCAAGTCTTGAACAGCCCAGTGCAGCCCAACCCTCTCCTTGGGAATAAGGGAAAGCAGAAGGAGTGGAAGAAGAAGAAAAGAGATGGGGCCAAGGCAGAGAGTCTAGGAGGAGACGGAAACAAATGAAATTCGGGAAAAGAATAAAAACCCCACTCCTCTTTGTTCTCTCCCTCATCTTAAGTCCCCAAGAAGAATTTTCAAAGACTTCTTTGCACCTCTGGTTCCCAGGGCAGCCTCAGGCAACTATGGGGAACTATTCTCCCATATTGGTTTCCTATATCCCCAGACCCCAAGTTCGTGGCGCACCTGGGGCCATGACTGTGGCAAATCCTGAGCTGACACCAAGTCTGAGCCTTCAACTGACGGCAAACCCAGGAAGGGTCAGCCTAAAGACGCTGCTGCTCAGGAGGGGAAGCCGGGGTTGGGATGGAGACTTCGAGTTTCCTCTGGATGCAACTTCTCAGCCAGGCCCACCTTCCTAAAGGAACCACAGGGCAAGCTGAGGGGGCTACCTGCAGGGCTTCAGAACTGTGGGTTATGGTGAAGCTGCAGTCTCTGACATATTAGACTAGACTCTAGTCTAGTAACAAAGACCCCTCCCGATCTCAGCGGCTTACACAATAAGTTTGTCTTTCATGCACACCAAGTCCAATGTGAATAGGTGACTCTCCTTAGCAGCTTTCTTCCAGCACTGAGAGAGGGATCCGGAAGCTGCTTCTATCTAGAATTTTTTGTGCTTCCAGCCACACAGACAGAAAAGAGCCTGGAGAAGTCACGCTGGCTCTGAACAATCTCAACCCGGAAGTGCAATGTCATTCCTGCTCACTTTTTCATTGGTCACAGTAGTCACATGACTTCGACCATACTGCAAAGGAGTCTGGGAAATGTAGGGGAACACATAGATATGTTGTGAGCACCGTCTGTATAACGCCCGGGGATTCGACTCTTTGGGTGGCTTTCTCTTACTTCCAGGAAATGGTTCTAACAGCAACCCCTGCTCAGAGACTTACCACGGGCCCTTTCCTCAGTCAGAGCCAGAGGTGGCTGCCATAGTGAAGTTCATCACAGCCCATGGCGACTTCAAGGCTCTGATCTCCATCCACAGCTACTCTCAAATGCTCATGTACCCTTACGGCCGATCGCTGGAGCCCGTTTCAAATCAGAGGGAGTTGGTGAGACTGGCCGCTTAGGGCTTGTGGAGAGGAGACTCCTTCTTGGGAAAATCCGTATCTGTCATACGGATGACCCCAAAGGGCTCAGATGGTTACTCTGAAAGCCCTGAGGTGCGGGCCGGGTGGGGGAGCTTGCTGTTCCCACGTGTGATCAAGTTCAAAGCTGGGGGTTCTGTGTTCCCTTCTCACAAGGGCCACCTGCACCTTCAACTTCCAGGACTGCTAAATCCAGGCTTCTTACCAGTTGGTGAGGGTGGGGAATGTGTGGGAGCCATGGGGAGCCTCCGCCTCTCACCCTGCCAATGTCATCTTGCAGTACAATCTTGCCAAGGATGCGGTGAAGGCCTTGTATGAGGTCCACGGGACCGAGTACATTTTTGGCAGCATCAGCACCACCCTCTGTGAGTGAACCTCTCCTGGCCCTGCTTCAAACATCACATCCACCTGGGGTTGGCCGCAGGGCAGTGCCATGGATCTAGCTGGGCTGGCCCAAAGCTGCCTCCCACGTTGGGTAGAAGGGTGAACAGTGGTACCCACGCAGCTGTTTCTTGGCAGCTTTTGTGCACAGCTCCCAGTGCCTGGCTTACTGCAAGGTCCTAAGCCTGGTGGGCAGGCGTCAAGAATGGGCTGGGTGCACGGCTGTGATCCCAGTTGAGGCCTGGGCAGGAAGCCTGATGTGGTCTGGGGTGGGTGAGGGTCTGGCTCCCTGAATCCACTTTCCACTCAGGATGCCTCTGTACCTTGCGGCCACATCCCCTTCTTCTTTTTGGGGGCACATTTTGGACCTTTTGTGTCTAGATGTGGCCAGTGGGATCACCGTCGACTGGGCCTATGACAGTGGCATCAAGTACGCCTTCAGCTTTGAGCTCCGGGACACTGGGCACTATGGCTTCCTGCTGCCGGCCACACAGATCATCCCCACAGCTGAGGAGACGTGGATGGCGATTCGGACCGTCATGGAGCACACCCTGACTCATGCCTACTAACACCATGACCGAGGACAGAGCAGGAGGCTCCATCCTTCTCCCCAAGGTCTGTGGCTCCTCCCAAAACCCATGTTATGCACCCCCGTCCCCGTGCCCTCATCCGGATCTCTTAGAAAATAAATACAAGTTTGAACAAGCTTCACTGCCTCTCGTGTTGGCTGCAACCCCTATGGGCTCAGCACTGACCAGGGGATGGGAGGGCTGCTTCTCATTCGCCAAGGGAGGCTGAAATGTGGGGGAAGCCTCTTCACTCCCCATGCTGCCTTCAGGAAAATCAGGGTGTAGAGGCTGAACCTTTTCTCCTCTTGCAGTGTTCTCAGGGCCCGAAACAGAGAAGTCAGCCCGGGAGCTACTCAGGCACACAGCATCCCAGCAAATTTACATTTTAAGATGGCCTCGGAGGGGACAGTGTTTGCTCTGAAGGAGAGCATTTCTGATGGAAAGGTGGGCCCAAACAGGCAGCCTTCACCTAGGTCTGCTTTTCTTTCCATGCGGGGAGGGAGCAGGGGCACATTTCGGAGGTCACTCATCACCCCTCAACCCAACACGAAGTTGTTGGCTTGTGACCTGCTCCCCTGAGGTGTCCTCAAAGGTCCCTTGGTCTTGGGAACACAGGGTCAGAGCCAGTCAGAGCCAGCACAGCAAAGCACCAGGAAGAAGAGCTTCCCCTCATCCTTGTCATCACTGACACCATCCTGGTTGTCACCTCTGAGCAGGGTTAAGCAGGCACTTCCCCAAGAGAGTTCAAGGGGCACTCTTGTGAGATATGAATGAAGTGCCTTCCCCCAGCCCCAGGCTTCCTTGTACCTTTCGCCTCTTCATTCCGCCTGTTGCCTTCTAGGAAGTGGTGGGACAGGCAGGCTGTACTGGGCAGCAGTGATAGCGGGGCTGTTTGCTCTGCCCTCAGGAAGGCTGATATCCCCTAGAAACAGGAAGAGCCAAATGAGGTTGCGTAAGTGTGAGGCAGAAACATCAATCTTGAGAGCAAGACTTGCATTTGCAAGAGCCAGGCTGGTGTGGGTGTGTGTGTGTGTGTGTGTGTGTGTGTGTGTGTGTGTGTGTTTAAAACTGGATGGCCACGAGCTGAAACCTGGAAGATACAGAGAAAGGGAAGAAAACAGAATGAAACCAAAATATTTGTGTAGAAAGGCATAAAAGTTAGAATCACAGACTCCACTGTGTAAAAGTATAACTTGCCTTATTTCTCTCTCACCTATATTAACTTAGCCTCCCTTTCCATTCAACCTGTGAAGGGAGACAGTGCTTGGGCCAGTTGATAGAAGAAGGGGATGGGAGATGATTAAAACCCCAAGTAAGGCTCATATACAATACGGCGTCTAAGCAGCAAATGACTAATGGCTGGAGAAGGGAACAAGACAGGATTAGAGGCAGCCACAGGGGCCGAGCGTGTCTCAGCGGTGCAGCTGTATAGAACTCTGAACAAAGAAACAAGGTTGGCAGGTGAGGAGGCCTAGGATAGAGGTCAGAAGGCCAAGCCCGGGGCCGTGCAGACAGCAGCCATGGTGGCACAGGGGGCATTGGCTGGGCATGCAGATGCCAAGGGCCAGTTGTGCCACACAGAAGCCCGGGGAAGTGATGGTAATTAACCCCTGAAGAACCCAGGTCATCTTCAGGGGAACAGCCACAGCAGTGGAGGAGGAGAAAATCTTGATTCTGGCTGAAGTTTCCCACAAGAGACTTTTTTTTTTTTTTTTTTTTTTAAGCTGGAATTGGTCTGAGTGAGCTAGAATTTCCAACCCAAAGTTTTCTGCTGCTAGTGGAAATTCGAGGTCATGGGCTAAGTTAATATAAGCTAGAGGTAAATGAAGCAAGTTATACCTTTGCGCAGTGGAGTCTGTGATTATAACTTTTATGCCCGCTATACAAATATTTTTTTCATCCTCTTGGGGAGGGTATTCCTGTACTAATAAGCTCATTTTTTTAGATAAGGCAAGAAGATGTGGAGACGTTTTAAAAGCTCTACAAGAGAAAATTCTTGAAAAAGATTTGAACTTGGGTTTGTCGAACTCTGAAACTGCTATGTCACCGTTTGTCCAAGGGTGGCCAGTGGCCCAGCTGCAGCAGAATCCATGGAGACTTGTTTAAAAGGAAGGGATTTGGCTCCATTTCCAGGCTGAGTTAGAATATCTGGGGGTGGACCCCCCAAATCTGCATTTTTACCAACTGCCCTTGGAGTTCTCAGGGATCTTCAAATACCGCCACTGATTCCTGTTCCCCTGCCTCCCAGGAAGAATATATGCAAGTCTTCCGGGGGGAGCTGAGCTTTGGGTCCCTGCTCTGCCATTGTCCACCAGGGCTGGAGGTGGCTGCCACAGGGGGAGGCCAGTCATGCTCTAGAGTATTTCTTGGGGGCTGCCTTGGCGCTAGCCTAAAGCAGTAGCAGTATGATCTGCAGACCACAGGCATCACATCACCTGGGAGCTTAACCCACCGCTACTAAATCCAAGTCTCTGTGGGGTGGGGTCTAGGAGATTCGCAGGCAGGAAGATCAAGGGGGAGACAAATGAGCCAGCCGAGGTGGTGGGTCCAGAGACTTCACCTTACACCATATTTGTTGAAACTGTGTCATGTGGTCACGCCCAGCTGCAAGGGAGGCTGGGAAATTGCTCTATAGCTGGGCACACTGCTGCCCCAAATAAAATCAGAGGTCTGTGGGTAGGCAGGAAGGGAAGAGCGGGTGTTTGGAAGGAGCCAGAAGAGTCTGCAGCAGCTTCTCTGAGGGGCAGGGAGGGTCTGAAGAGGCCTCAGAGCCCGTTTCTTGTTTATCAAGTGATGGACTTAATCCTAAATAAAGCCATAGAATTTTCCAGATGTTTTAGTCCAACCCGCTGATTTTGCAGTGATGAAGACAGGGGCCTCTGGATCATGAGATTTGCACAAGGCCCCACGTGAATTTAACAGCCGGGAGAAGACTAAAGCCAGGGGGATGTTCTAGTCCAAGCCCCAATGCGGCTTCCTTCCCCCACAGATTGAGGGCCCACACTCTGGGTCTCCTCAGCAAGCCCAGAGAGATGATGGCGGCGGCTTAAGTTTATCGAATAAAAGTTCAAGACGTAGACATGCAAGTTGTAGAGCTGCTACAGAAGAATCTTCTCCTTTTCATAAACCCTGAACGTTCTCCCACCCATTTTTTGAGGTATATAGTGCTGAACAGCAGCTCCGTTTTTCAACATTCTGCTGGGTGGTGTTTTTTTTTTCTCTTTTTCCAACAAACTGCTCTTTTGAGGTATGTTTTTTCATCCTTTACACCAGCAAAATTTATGAGCATTTATTTAAAAGAAAAAAAAAAAAAACCCTGGAAAAACTGAAGAGAGAAAGAGCAATTCTACATATGGAAAGCTATAAAGAACCACAGCGAATGTGCTGGGTTATTGCTTTCTTAAAAAAACAAACCAGGCAGGCAGTTTGGAATGTGAGAGGCCTGTGTGAGGCCAGGAGGGCTGGGATCCAGGGAGGGCAGCGAGGGGCTCTCCACGCCCCCATCCTCCTCCATGGCCCCTCTGACCGCTCCAGCGACAGACAGGGCCAGACAGAAAGGGACTTTACCGAAAACATTTCATTCAATGTCAAAACGCTCCTTTAGGAAAACAGAAAGGCCCAGGCAGCCGGTCAGCACCGGCTGGGAGAGAATGCCGGGAACGCGGGGCCGGCCGGAGCTTCCCAGCCTGGTGGTGGGGACCGCCCCGGCCCAGGGTGATCGGCCGGCAGGAGGAGGCCTGCGGGCCCCAGGGCCCCAGGCTAGGAGGCAAGCCAGACACAACGGATGTGGGAGGCTGTTATCGTTTCCAAGAACGGTCCCAGGTGCGCGGGGTAGGAGAACCTCGAAGGCCAAACAGGCTGCCTGGATTTGTCCTTCCGGACATTATTTGTTGCTGTCACTTTGTTGACGTTCCCGAGCCAGGCCTGGCTGCTGCAGCTCCCAGACCCAGTCCCAGGCGTGTTGGGACACAGGCCGACTGAGCTCTGTGGAATCTTCCCAGGCAACCGGGCCACTTCTGGGGTTGCAGCGGGGGTTGGGGGGGGTCCTGCGGATACCCCTCACCGAGCAGCCTCCCCCTGCCCTGCCCTCCAGCACCGCCTGCCTGCGATCTCAAACTTGGGGGGCAAACAATGTCCTTCCGTGGAAGGGCCCCCGAAGGAGAACTCCAGCCTGCACAGCCATCGGAGGCTCTTCCTCCCTGAGCTTCTGGGACGTTCCTTAGCGTCAGAATCCGTTCCCTCCGCTCGTCCCGTGCCAGCTTCTGGCCCTGGGGCCTGCAGTTGGCCTCTTACCCTCTCCTAACCAGCCCTGCCAAGCTCCGCGGTTGTCCTTCCGCCTCCCTGCCCCCAGCCCACCTCTCACAATTCTCCAAAGCATGGCTAGGGCCACGGGGTAGCAGATCCCACAACTTTCCGTGGGATGCGGAAGAAACATACGATAGAGAAAATAAAAGGTAGAAGCCGGACCGCTGGATGTCTCCGGCGTTGGAGCTGGTGGTTCATGTCCCACCACGGGGTCCCCCCGGTGGGCCTTCACTCTCCTTCTCTCCTCGACCCTCGGCTGGTTCCCCTCCCGCGGTGCGGATGCCCCCCGGGTGCTCCTGATGCCCCTCAGGTTCCGCCATCTTTCCAGCCACCGGAGGTGCACCCCTGGCCAGTTCCTCTTGGTGGCAGATCTCCATTCTGATACTGGGGCATTCCCTCCAGACCCTGAACACTGGGGAGCTTCTCTCCTCAGGGGACTCTTCCACCAGAGAAAACATCCGGCCTCGACTTCTAGAGAAAAGAGACCACTAGCCACTTTCAAGTTTTCACAGTCCTGCAGCTTCAAAGCAAACACGCCGATAGGCTCTACTGGACACTTAGTTATAAAAGCAGAACTTAAGGAGGCCACTGACTGGACCTCATCCTCTCAGCCTTCCACGATGCCCCCAAGCCCTGGTGACCTCCCACTACCGCAGCCTCTCTCAACCTATACTGCCCTGGACATGCGGACCCATCCCAAGCCTCAGGCCCTCCCTGGCTCAATCCTGCAAACCTGTCCTCCTCTCTCCACCCTTCCCAGACCATGGCTTGATTTGTTTTGAGGTAAAAAAAAATCCAAGTGTTTCCGGTCCAGTCGATCATGCATATAATCC